GTTGTTTTTGGTATGTTTGTTTCCTAATGGATAAAGGATGTTTTTGGTATGTTTCTTAATGGATAAAGGATGTTTTTGGTATGTTTGTTTCCTAATGTATATAGGTTGTTTTTGGTATGTTTGTTTCCTAATGGATAAAGGATGTTTTTGGTATGTTTCTTAATGGATAAAGGATGTTTTTGGTATGTTTGTTTCCTAATGTATATAAGTTGTTTTTGTTATGTTTGTTTCCTAATGGATAAAGGATGTTTTTGGTATGTTTCTTAATGGATAAAGGATGTTTTTGGTATGTTTGTTTCCTAATGTATACAGGATGTTTTTGGTATGTTAGTTTCCTAATGTATATAGGTTGTTTTTGAATATCTTTATTTACTAATTAATAAAAATATTTTTAAATGTCTTTGTTTCTTAACGGTTAAATGTTGGTTTTAAACATAGTTACATCTTAATTGATGAAGGATGTTTCTTAATAACTTAGTAATTAATTAAATCAATTATATTAAATTATTACTTAAATCTATGCTTTTATTCGAAATGTTTTTACTTTTGTAAAAAATAAAAGTTGAATATATGTTAGTGTCATAAATATTTGGTCGATGACAAAATTGAACATCAAATACGATCATTTATATCAAAACATATCTGACACATGTGAAACACAACATTTATGTGATATCTAAATGACTAACACAAGGCAATTTCGAACATGTGAATTTTTTTCTCATTATCACACTTTTAACATCAGCTGGATTTATTGTTTAGTTCAGGTGCTAAGTTTTTATGGCTAATGTTTCTTTTAGTCTTAGCCACTGCTCATTTTCAGTCTTTCCGATAATTTGGAACTGTTCAATTTTTATTTGTGCCGGAAAATATTTGAGAATTCCGCATATCTTTAGGCTTAGTGATCGAGTTAAAGAAGAACTGTTTGCTGACTTAATATATTTAGCGTAACATCGACAGTTGTTAAGAAATTGATAAATAGATACGTTTGGTAAGGCAACACTGCTATCAGACTTAAAAGGTACTCGCGAGTAATATCACATGTGATTCAGTCTAGTGTAATGTTCCACGAGTCCAGATATTTTTAATATCACACGTGTTTCAGTGTTGTGTAATGTCCCACGAGTCCAGATATTTTTAATATCACACGTGTTTCAGTGTTGTGTAATGTCCCACGAGCCCAGATATTTTTAATATCACACGTGCTTCAGTGTTGTGTAATGTCCCACGAGTCCAGATATTTTTAACATCACACGTGTTTCAGTGTTGTGTAATGTCCCACGAGTCCAGATATTTTTAATATCACACGTGTTTCAGTGTTGTGTAATGTCCCACGAGCCCAGATATTTTTAATATCACACGTTTCTCTTAATATAGGTTGATCTTCGTCATTTCAAACAACAACCAGGTTCCAGTGACGTTCCAATCGGTATAGATCTAACAGAATTCTACAAAAGCGTCGAGTGGGACATCCTTCTAGTTCCAGCCAAGTACAATATGGAGTTTTATGACTGCTGCCCCGAACCTTATCCCGACATTACTTTTAACGTTACCATGCGTAGGAAAACGTTGTTTTATACGGTCAACCTGATTATCCCTTGTGTGGGGATATCTTTCTTGACAGTCCTAGTGTTCTACCTACCCTCAGACAGTGGGGAAAAGGTTTCTTTGTGCATGTCGATCCTCGTGTCCTTAACTGTATTCTTCCTGTTGTTGGCTGAGATCATCCCTCCTACTTCCCTGGCTGTTCCTCTTCTTGGGAAATACCTGCTTTTCACCATGATACTGGTGACTTTATCAATATCAGTGACGGTTGGGGTTCTCAATGTCCACTTCCGGTCACCGTCTACCCACACCATGTCTCCTTGGATCAGAAGGGTGTTCATTCATATCATGCCACGCCTCTTGCTCATGCAGAGACCACATTTTACGTCCGATGACGAACAGGGGCAGCCCCTGAAGTTCCTCTCCAGAAGTTGTAACGGAGTGGAAGTGAGAAGAGATTCCTTCCTTCAGATTCCTCGCTCTGCCCGAGATCCCGATCCCTTTACATACCGAGGACACGAGAGTCCTGAAGAAGCGGAGGCTCTGTCAGGAGGAAGATACTACACTCACAGACAACACCATCCTGAAATTAATCAAGCAATAGAAAGCATATTACTCATTGCTGAACACATAAGGAAAGCAGATGAAGAGGAGAGTGTAAGTAGAACACCCCACAGTTCTCAGTTAACTCGAGTTGAATTTTCTGTCAACTGGTTCCAGCTCCTCTCCCTTAGAGGGGGAAGGGGACAGAGGAGATTTTGTGGGGCTACCATACAGTGATATTGATTTATAGTAAAAGATATATAGCAAAAATCTTCTCTCCCTTTTTTTTCGGGGGGGGGGGTATTAGAATTTTATGGGGGGGGAGAGAAGCTGAAGCCGGGATAAAGATGTTTGTTATATAACCTATCCTATAAATCCATATCACTGTATGTTAGATAAAGATGTTTGTTATATAACCTATCCTATAAATCCATATCACTGTATGTTAGCCCCCACCCCCTCTCCCTCACAAAGGGAGAGAAGCTGAAGCCGGGATAAAGATGTTTGTTATATAACCTATCCTATAAATCCATATCACTGTATGTTAGCCCCCACCCCTCTCTCCACCACCAACCCGGCTTCAGCTTCTCTCCCTTGATGGGGGAGAGGGGGTGGGGGCTAACATACAGTGATATGGATTTACAGGAAAGGTAATATAGCAAAGAACGTTGTCCCACCCAACTTGATTTTTCTTAGCTATTTAAAAAAACAATAATGCGATTTTCTGAAATATTATTGTTTAAACCGCTAGGGAGTAGTGAACTTGTGTGAGTAAAATTTAGGGGTGCACGGCCCACCCCAGCACCCCCACTGTGCTTTCATCCTACACAACTGACACTTTGATAACGTACCAAAGCAATCAGTTTCGTCCCAGTGTCGTTATCTATAAATATTTACAACTAATCCAAAAAGTAAAAATGTCTCATTCACACATAAGGTATAAAATCTCGTGCTACAGGAGTGAAAATAATGTCATGTTCATTTATGTTGAGTGACATCTCCTACCATCGTTCCCAGTGGCACAGCGGTATGACTTACGACGCTAGAAACCGGGTTTCGATATCCGTGGTGAGTAGAGCACAGATAGCCTGTATTGTAGCCTTGTGCTTAACAATAAGCTTCTACCGACGATCCGCTGTTTTCAGTTGTCATAGTTTTGAAGATGAAACTGACCGAACTGGAAGATTGAATCCGGGTTATGGATTTGCTGGTCAACGTTCGCCTACAGTTAAGACTAAAAAACAATCTTTTTTACGCGCTTGTGGCTTGGGGGCATTATATGGGTGGGGATCAAATCCCATTATTGGGTGAAACAAGGGTAACCTTAAACGTTGGGAGTGGGTTTCTTTGAATGTTTTTCCCCTAATCTATCAGCTTAAAATTTGGGACGGCTGTTGTATGTAAAGAATTAATTAATTATAGTTGTCATAAGACATTAGTATTTGTATATCCATTGACGACGACGCGTTTCCCTGAATCCAGAGCTCATCTGACCGGCTGGGACACATAGCCTATAAGTAGCTTTGGGCGAATATCCGAAAACAAATATATTTGTCAATGAAATGTTATAAAAAGTAAATCAAAGCCAGTTTCTTGAGACTGAACACAGTCCATTTAAAATGTTTCTTAGTTTTTCAACGAACTACTCATGTTTAGTTCCACGAGTTTTAGTTCCAAATTCCGATTCTAAGACTACACAACTATCAAAGTTTTTTTTTCCAGATTTTATGTAGTTTTATAGTTAAACTAAATCTATTTTATCGGTAAACACTTCAAAAAGATTCTTATTTATTTTACTGAAATTTAATTTTTTTTTATCTGATATAAGTTTGTGCTATTTTAGTTATTTTAATACGAAACTAAGGAATTCCAATATAATTTCATCTTAAATTTGTTCTACGGATAATATCGAACGTTTCTTGGCTCACAACGTTTCATTCAGTTATTATCCAGCGTCTGAAAAAGCATTAGTTCTTTATTTTATCCTATTAAATAACTCAAAATATTTAACGGCATTCAATGTTATCCATAACATACCACCTATCTCGAAGAGAGAAAATGAGAAGGCTTCGGGATCGAATGAACTATCTCCTGTCAGGGATAAAATACATTATCTCAATTGGATATATATATAATTCTTGGATGTGCGCATTTCTTATTATATAATCTATAAAGACAAAAAAAAGCTATTTTCAAATCACTGTATAACGGTATCTTGAAAGTCCTTTTAAAGCATACTGTTCATGTAAAGACTCGTAGTGTCTTACGACCATACAACGTTCTATAATGACAGGTTTGTTTTAGCAGTTCTGGTGTCATAATACCCAAAACCTTTGATAGTTCATATTTCTGGAACTCTTAGTTCCGTAATTCTCAGTACAAACATATCTTTTGGCTAGCTACTTTTACAGCGTCAACAACCTACGCTCTAATTATTAAGTGTTCTTTATAACGCTGCACTTGAGACTTTAATAACCAGTGTCTATAAAAAGACCATAGGAAGAAGTCCTTCTCAATGGCCATATTGATGTATATAGAGAACATTAGATTTTCCCTAGCAACAACAAGAGTCTCCTCTACTGGATACAACGATATGAACAGCTTACATTTTATAGTGTCTTTAGTCTCCTCTTTAATAACTACCCAGAGATATTATATTTTATTACTCCAATAGTCTCCTCTTTAATAACTACCCAGAGATATTATATTTTATTACTCCAATAGTCTCGTCTTTAATAACTACCCAGATATATTATATTTTATTACTCCAATAGTCTCCTCTTTAATAACTACCCAGATATATTATATTTTATTACTCCAATAGTCTCCTCTTTAATAACTACCCAGAGATATTATATTTTATGACGCCAATAGTCTCCTTTTTAGTAACTACCCAGAGATATTATATTTTATTACTCCAATAGTCTCCTCTTTAATAACTAGATACAACCACCCAGAGATATTATATTTTATGACGCCAATAGTCTCATCTTTAATAACTAGATACAACCACCCAGAGATATTATATTTTATGACGCCAATAGTCTCATCTTTAATAACTAGATACAACTACCTAGAGATATTATATTTAATGACTCCAACAATCTCTACTTCTTTACGTGTTACATTATATGTGATGACTCCAACAATCACTACTTCTTTACGTGTTACATTATATTTTGTGACTCCAACAATCACTACTTCTTTACGTGTTACGTTATACTTAATGACTCCAACAATCTCTACTTCTTTACGTGTTACATTATATGTGATGACTCCAACAATCTCTACTTCTTTACGTGTTACATTATATTTTGTGACTCCAACAATCTCTACTTCTTTACGTGTTACATTATATTTTATATTTTGTGACTCCAACAATCTCTACTTCTTTACGTGTTACATTATATTTTGTGACTCCAACAATCTCTACTTCTTTACGTCTTACATTATATGTGATGACTCCAACAATCTCTACTTCTTTACGTGTTACATTATATTTTGTGACTCCAACAATCTCTACTTCTTTACGTCTTACATTATATGTGATGACTCCAACAATCTCTACTTCTTTACGTGTTACATTATATGTGATGACTCCAACAATCTCTACTTCTTTACGTGTTACATTATATTTTATGCCACCTAAGGTGAATTAACTCGTTTATCTTATCTTATCTTATTCTTGTTTCTACGCTGCATAATATGACATTCAACTTTTTTACATCTGAAATATACGTCTTTAGTACTAAAATATTGTGTAAGCTCAACCAACATTTACATAACTAAGTTATTTTATAAAAAGAATTCTCGTTTCTGAAATTAAAATACTTAGGAACCGTTTCAAGAGAAACATACAAAGACCAACTGTTGTTGTTTTTATTCCTTTCAGGTGGTGGAGGATTGGAAGTTCGTAGCCATGGTCCTGGACCGTTTCTTTCTTTGGGTCTTTACAATCGCCTGTGCTGTAGGAACATGTGGAATCATCTTTCAAGCTCCTTCTCTTTATGACAGCACAATCCCAATAGACAACCTGTCAAGAATCGGAAGAGAATTATAATTTAGTTAGGTTTTTACATTATCTTCTGATCGTTTCAACGTTGTTATTCAGCCCTATATGGCAGCTATGTGTATGGGTAGTGCTTTCAAAACCTTCTAGTTCTCCTTTTGTTTAGTTTTTAGTTTTTACAACCGCTAAACAAGAAGTTAAACGTTGTATTTGTAGCTTTCTGCAGCTAAAAATGGTAAAGAAGAGAATTATTCTACATAAGCTACAATTCTCTTCCAATCACTTTTCCTTTCCAGGCGTCTCCCGAGTGTGTTATCAAGTTCAGAATTTTCTCCAATCTTGTGACGTCATTATTCTTGGTGGACTCGTGGTAATTTCTGCTATAACAGTCAATCAGTTTTGAAAAGTGACAAATTCCACGGAATATAACACGTTCCTCTCTAATGCTCAAGAGCTACCAAGATTTGGTAAATGAAATAAATGTTTCTAAATCCAGCTTTCTTTTGGTATCAGTTTTCTTTGGTTTTTTTTTAGCTACTTCCATGATCCTAAACTCAAACTTTTACTTCGATATCGATCATAAGGTTTTTTGAACTCTTAATTCACGTCAATTTTAAAACAGTTGTATATTCAAGTTGGAAGTCAGACAAACTATAACACAAATTTATATCATCAAATAGTTGTTTCAAATCTAAAATTTTACAGCTTCTAAATGAATTGTGCTCTTTGATAAGAAGTAAGAGAGAAAAAGCCTAACAGTTAAATCTAGTCTTGTGCTGGTTGGGCATAAGTTTAGTCTTGTAGTCGTTGGACATAAGTTTCTAAATTATATCAAAATTCTTAGTAAAGGAACATTCGTAGTGAAGTAACAAGAGCTCCTCTTGAGATGAAGGAGTACATGCTTCCCTCAAAGTAAGGAACACGTGCTTCTCTCAAGATGAAGGAATACATGCTTCCCTAAAACTAAGAAACACGTGTTCGTCTCGAGATGAAGGAACACATGCTTCCCTAAAAGTAAGAAACACGTGTTCGTCTCGAGATGAAGGAACACATGCTTCCCTAAAGTAAGAAACACGTGTTCGTCTCGAGATGAAGGAACGCATGCTTCCCTCGAAGTAAGAAACACGTGTTCGTCTCGAGATGAAGGAACACATGCTTCCCTAAAAGTAAGAAACACGTGTTCGTCTCGAGATGAAGGAACACATGCTTCCCTCGAAGTAAGAAACACGAGTTCGTCTCGAGATGAAGGAACATCTGCTCCACCGTAGAATACATCCAATGTTTGTATAAAATTGGTTCTATGAGAAACCAGCAAATCAATTAAAGAAAACTAAACTGCACTCAGTGATACATTATGCACAGTTAGAAGTCGTATTTAACATTATTAAACAATACCTCACTCTACAGCTATTACCATGTTAAGCTATACGTTGATGTTATGTGTCGCGAGTGAAATAAAACACTACAAACACCCAATTTGTGTTTAAACTTACATTGCACGAGAGCGTAAATAACATGTTTGTTCAACGTTACAAAAAAATTAAATTAAATAAATCCACTTCACTTCTGCGCCGTCATCAAATATAGTTGTCTTTTTACTCAAAGTAAAGATTAATTATTTACCAAAACAGGAAAGGTTTCAGGCAATGAAGTTTCTATTACGAATAGTGGTAGGTTCGAGTTGCATCACGTCTCGTCAGCCTGAGTAAACAACACCAGAAATTCCTTAAAATATTATGAGGGTCATAAAACTTGTAAACATCTAATTTTAGATAGGGTATATAAAACAAATCAGAACACAATTTTCATGTTGTTGTGTTTTGTTTTTTTTTAGTTAAGAATCTTTTGAACTAACTAGCATACTCTATGACGTTAATGTTGTTATTCCTCGCAGACATAAATGATGTTCTTAATAAAGACACTGCAAAAAAAAATGTTAATTATGAAATGATTGTATTCGTTTGTTAATGTGTTCATGCACATGTAAAAAAAATTATCGCCAGATAATTTGATGTTTAATCGCTGTTGAAATCATTCTCATGTTAAACGGTTCCAAAGAATATTGGCAGTTTGATAACAACAAAAATAAACATTGCAAATTCCAGAAGAGTCAGTATTTTTAACAGACTTTTAACGCTTCCGATGGGATCAGAACTTGGTGAACTAACGTTTGATACACCTGATGTGATAAGATCTTGATGAATAAACTTTGGGTACACCTGATGTGATAAGAACTTGGTGAACTAACGTTTGATACACCTGATGTGATAAGATCTTGATGAATAAACTTTGGGTACACCTGATGTGATAAGAACTTGGTGAACAAACTTTGGATACATCTGGTGGGATAAAAACTTGGTGAACAAACCTTGGATACACCTAATGTGATAAGAATTTGGTGAACAAACTTTGGATACATCTGATGGAATAAGAAGTTGGTGGACAAACTTTTGTTACACCTGATGTGATAAGAACTTTCTGAACAAACTTTGGATATACCTGATGTGATAAGAAGTTGGTGAACAAACTTTAGATACACCTGATGTGATAATAAGTTGGTGAACAAACTTTAGATACACCTGATGTGATAAGAAGTTGGTGAACAAACTTTGGATATACCTGATGTGATAAGAAGTTGGTGAACAAACTTTAGATACACCTGATGTGATAATAAGTTGGTGAACAAACTTTGAATACACCTAATGGGATAAGAACTTGGTGAACAAACTTTGGATACACCTAATGTGATAAGAATTTGGTGAACAAACTTTGAATACACCTGATTGGAATAAGATCTTGGTAAACAAACTTTGGACACATCTGATGTATATTTTGTTCACTCCTGATGAGATAACAACTTTGTGAACAGATTTGAAACACTTCCAGCGTTATCACAGCTTTGAGAATGCACTTTTTATGGATGTAATGGGACGTAAACAAATCGTCTGTTTGGCATGTAACCAATGGGCCACGCCCGGCCCTTATAAGTAGTAATTAACATAAAAACAGATTACAGCAACATATTATAATAATATGATTTGGTTTTCAAATTGAAATAACTTGCTTGAAAACTATTATACGTTTACGTATAACCAAAAAATTAAATATAAATTTATAACATTTTATAATAATACTAGAAAGAGACCATTTTCCATCCTGTCACTTTCAATTTAAAGCACATCGTTTGTCTCATTGCGCCCTCTATGATCTGAAGTATAATGTCGTTAAACAACAACCACGGAATTGTTAAATTCAGTCCCTACACATCCCACGAGCCTACTATTCTTGAGCTGAGAATGACATATAAAGAGTATTATCTTGAGAATACTTTATTTTTAAATCTGTTTCAAGGCCTATCTATCATTCCTGTAACCTTCAAAGTGCTCTCAAACCTCTTTCACTGCTGGTACAGGAGGAACGTTAAGTGAATCTCTGAGAAGCCTGTCTGCTCTGAACTGGTAGGGTATCTGTATAGAAAAAGATGAAAGAGTTTGATTGATTTCTGTGGTCAGAGCAGGCGGGCACTTTCCCGAATAGCCTGCAAGAAGGGAATAAATGATCGAATAATGCTCTTTAAAAAAAACCTGAAACAAAGGTTTAACATACAGTAGTATGTTGGAAATGAATAATATGTATCCCAAGTTATATCAGTATAAGAAACAAAACATATCAACAGTATCTGCAAGTCAAGTAGGTTAAAATATTAGTACAACAAACCAGTGATTGAAATAACTTATACTAGGAAAATATTCTTAAATTTAGATTGTTCAGAACAAAACAAAGAGAAAAGGTTAAATAACTTTTACCTTTATTCAGTCTCATGACTATATAGTAACTATATGTTTCTCTGTAGTAACTACATGTTTCTGTATACTAACTATATGTTTCTCTGTAGTAACTACATGTTTCTGTATACTAACTATATGTTTCTCTGTAGTAACTAGATGTTTCTCTATAGTAACTATATGTTTCTCTGTAGTAACTACATGTTTCTGTATACTAACTATATGTTTCTCTGTAGTAACTACATGTTTCTGTATACTAACTATATGTTTCTCTGTAGTAACTACATGTTTCTGTATACTAACTATATGTTTCTCTGTAGTAACTACATGTTTCTCTATAGTAACTATATGTTTCTGTATACTAACTAGATGTTTCTCTATAGTAACTATATGTTTCTCTGTAGTAACTAGATGTTTCTCTATAGTAACTATATGTTTCTCTGTAGTAACTAGATGTTTCTGTATACTAACTATATGTTTCTCTGTAGTAACTAGATGTTTCTCTATAGTAACTATATGTTTCTCTGTAGTAACTATATATGTTTCTCTGTAGTAACTACATGTTTCTGTATACTAACAATATGTTTCTCTGTAGTAGCTATATGTTTCTCTTTAGTAACTATATGTTTCTCTATAGTAACTATATGTTTCTGTATACTAACTAAATGTTTCTCTATA